GGGATCATGGCCTGAGCCAAAGGCAGATGCTCAACCACTGAGCCACTGAGGCACCGCTGAAGTTGGACTTTAAAAGCAAAGTTTATTGGGCATAAAATGTTATAAAATGTCACTTCGTCCTACAGGTGTTTTAGTTACATGATCTTGGAATTTGCATTCGTGGCTTTATCAGGCTCACAGAGTCTTCTTTCCTTGCTTTCCTTTCTACGTTCTGTAGGAGGGAAGGATGATTAAGGGAAGGATAACCCCATACAGCCCTACTTTAATGTGTCTGCACAGCATTTATGGTCATATGGTGTTTTTCTTATTTACTTATTTCTCCCCACTGAAATGTGAGCTCCCGGAATGTGGATTCCTATCAGCCATGTTCTCCTCTGCATTAAGCACATATTAGGTGCTTAAAATGAATGAATCTGAGTATACAACAGAAAACCTAGCATTTAAAAACAATTATTTAAAAACAATGTAAAGACTGAGCAAGGTTCACCCCGGGATTCACTTTGGATGTGAGTGTAGGGACATTGCTTAAATTTTAAGAAAATATTACTAACGTCCTTCCAGGGCCAAGACAAAGCTGCCTTTTGATAGATTAAACACACACACACACACACACACACACACACACACACACACTCTCTCACACTGCCCTCTAATGGTCGTGGGGGCTTTTTGTTTTTTACTTTAGCAGTAATAGTTGAGTATCTTAGTTCCCTTAAGATGGAACTAGGGCTGAGGGTCATAATGGCAGAGCCAAGGAGTGGCCAGGGAAGGACTTTAAGATGTACAATACACTTGCTATATATGTTCAAGACAATTCTCCTTGCTACTATCCTTTTCCCAACCTTTCCCACCAGATTGCTGCCCCCAGCACTCTTATTCTGGAGTCCCACAGGTTAAGTTGGCTGTACTAGGGTAAGCCTGCCCAGAGACCAAGTCAGGAAGAGAGTGACAGCGCTTGCTTGCTAGGGCCAGCTGGAACCCAAAGGGGGTGACCCCTCATATGGCAGCTGTCCTTTATTTGTCTGACTTCTCAACTTGGCCTCTTCATCTTTTGCCTGTTTCCTGTTCCCAGCTCCTCTCCTAGGTGGAAATGTCAAATGTTTAAAGTTTAAAATATGTCAGCTCATTACATCAAAATATGTCCGCAAAGACCAAAAAGATGTTAATTCTTTTATCATATGGGCTATCAGGTGTCAAAGTATAGTTTAGAAAAAAAAAATTCTTTAAACAATTTTTTTTCTCTTTGAAAATTTATTTATTCATGAGAGACACACACAGAGAGGCAGAGACACAGGCAGAGGGAGAAGCAAGCTCCCTACTGGGACCCTGATGCAGGACTCCATCCCGCGACCTCGGGATCATGCCCTGAGCTGAAGAAGATGCTCAACCACTGAGCCACCTAGGTGCCCCCAGAGAGAAATTTTTTAAAAATATTTATTTATTTATTTTTGAGAGAGAGAGGAGAGAGGGAGAGCAGGAGTAGGGACAGAAAGGTGGAGGGATAAACAGACTTCCCACTGAGCAGAGAGCCCACGGGGCTCCATTCCAGGACTCTGGGATCATGACCTGACCTGAAGGCAGACGCTTAACCAACTGAGCCACCCACACATCCACTATTAATTCTGTCCTTTTACATTTTCTTCTTTAAATTATTGATGCTGTTGTCCCAAAGCATAGTAAACATTTTGTACCTACTCAATGATTTTAGGATCTAGCTGATTTTCTTTTGCCTTCTGCCCCTCATCGGTGTTCCCAGGACTTTTTAACATCTGAGCTGTTGCTTGCTCCTCCAGACTCCACAATTTCACAAGAGTCCATTACTCTAGGTGTCATATGCCAGGGCTTTGGCTCCATCTTTCCGTGATTCTCTTTGTTCTGCTCTCATTAAATGATTAGTGTTATCCTCAGGCTGGCTACAGTATTTCCAGGTGTCACATCCACATATAATCGTGTCCAGAGAACTAGAGGGGACTTTTCCATTCCAAAAGACATTCGGAGAATGTCTTTTCCACGAGTCCTTGTGGATCCTCTGTACATGTTATTGGCTATTACTAAGTAACATGCCCATCTCTAAACCAATCATAGACAAAGAAATGGGACCCCTGGGATTTATTGAGACCAATCAAAATTTACCTCTGGATCTGTGACTTATGCGGGAGGAGTTATATCTGAACAAATAATATTGGGCCTCTGCAGGCCATGAAGGGGAGAAGGATATTGGGTAGGTAATCCACAGTATCTGCTATAGTGTGATATGGTGAACCATTGAGAGAAGCTAAAAATTTTGAGCTTGAGGTTTGATGTTAATTCCGTCATCAACACTTATAAACTCAACCACCAGAAGTAATTTTGTTTTTAGGGGAGAAGAGGTAAGGATGTAGAACATCCTAGATTGTAGATTTTCGTTCAACCCCCACATTCTACTTTCTCTATGTTGAACATCCAATACTACCCTTCCAAATCTGAACAAAAGTTCTTCTGCTCATCTCTCATTTTTACCCCACTCCCTCACTCTCTCCTCTAGCTCCTCCTCACTATAATCAGATGGCTCTGCCAGGTTCATTAAGGAGAAGACTGAAATCATAAACGGCAGCCTGCTCTTGCCATCCTAACCGGTCCCTATCAGTCTTCTGACTCTTCCATTTCTTTTAAACCCAGGTGTCCTTTTCAGACCTCCTGGGAAACTTCCACAGAGTAAGTATACTCAAGAAGTGTCTATTAAATGAATGCATTTATTCCATTCCTCTCTAATCTTTTTCAATTCCCATCTCTTATGTGTGTTTATAGAGGTTTTACACACATCTTTAACCCTCTTGTTCATTTTTAGAACAAATGCTCCGTTGACATTAATTCTGTTGCTTTCTTTAAAAAAAAAAAAAGATTTTAGGGATCCCTGGGTGGTGCAGCAGTTTAGCGCCTGCCTTTGGCCCAGGGCGCCATCCTGGAGACCCGGGATCGAATCCCACATCGGGCTCCCGGTGCATGGAGCCTGCTTTTCCCTTTGCCTGTGTCTCTCTGCCTCTCTCTCTCTCTCTCTCTCTCTCTCTCTCTGTGACTATCATAAATAAAAATAAAAATAAATAAAAATAAAAAAAGATTTTGTTTCTGTATTTATTTTAGAGAGAGTGCACAAGGTTGGGGAGGAGTAGAAGAGGAAGGAGAGTGAAAGAATCTTCTGTAGACTCCATGCTGACCATGGAGCCCAAGGTGGGGGCTTCATCTCATGACCCTGAGATCAGGACTTGAGCTGAAACCAAGAGTCGGGTGCTTAACCGAGCCACCCAGGTGCCTCCCTATTTTGTAATAGCTTTATTGAGGCAAAATGTACATACTTAAATATATAAACACCATAAAATTCACCTGTTTTTAAGTGCACAAATCAAGAATTTTTAGTGAATTTACACAATTGTGCAAACATCACAAAATCCAGTTTTAGAGTGTTTCCATCACCCCCATCCTCCACTGACCCATGTGCAGTCTATTCCATTCCTCAGCCCCAGTTCTAGGTAACCACTAGTCTGCTTTCTGTCTCTATGGATATAGTTGCCTTTTTGGCTTTTTCATATAAATGAATCATATGATATGTAGTCTTTCATGTCTGGCTTCTTTCATTTAGCGTAATGTTTTATTACTGGACAGCGTTCTATCATGTACACATTACACTTTTGTTTCTCCACTTGCCAACTGATGGGCAATTAGAATCTTTACCTTTTTAGGCTGCTATGGACTGATGTCTTTATTTCTGTTGCATAGATTCCAAGGATGGAACTGTTGGGTAGTATAGGAAGTTTATATGTAACTTTTTTTTTTTTTCGCTCATCCATTTGAGAGAGAGAGAGCACAGACAGGCAGGGGACTGGGCAGAGGGAGAGGGAAAAGCAGACTCCCTGCCAAGCAGGGATTCCAGACACAGGCCTGATCCCAGGACCCCAGCATCATGACCTGAGCTGAAGGCAGACGCTTGACTGACTGAGCCACCCTGGCATCCCAGTTTATGTGGAACATTTATGAAACTGCCAAACTGTTTTCTGAAATGGTTGTACCACTTTATATTCCCACCAACAGTGTTCCAATTTCTCTATATCCTCACTAACACTTGTAATCATCTATCTTTATTATAGATATTCTAGTGGGTGTGAAGTAGCATCTCATTATAGTTTTGCCTTTTTTTTTTTTGAGTAGGCTCCATGAACTTGAACTCACAGCCCTGAGATCAAGAGTCCTATGCTTTACTGACTGAGCCAGCCAGTTGCCCCCGTTAATTGCATTTCTTTAATGGTCGATGGTATTGAACATCTTTTGAAGTGCTTATTAATCATTTTTTCATACCTTCTTTGGTGAAATGTCTATGTAAGTCTTTTGTTCCTTTTTTATTTTTTAAAGGGATTTTTAAAAAGATTTATTTTATAAATGTTTATTTATTTATGAGAGACACAGAGAGAGGCAGAGACACAGGCAGAGGGAGAAGCAGGCTTCCTGCAGGGAGCTCGATGCGGAACTCGATCCCAGGACCCTGGGATCATGCCCTGAGCCAAAGGCAGATGCTCAACCGCTGATCCACCCAGGTGCCCCTGTTAATTCTTAAAAACATTTTATTTCTTTTTTTTTTAATTTTTATTTATTTATGATAGTCACACACAGAGAGAGAGGGGGGGGGGGCAGAGACATAGGCAGAGGGAGAAGCAGGCTCCATGCACCGGGAGCCCGATGTGGGATTCGATACCGGGTCTCCAGGATCGCACCCTGGGCCAAAGGCAGGCGCCAAACCGCTGCGCCACCCAGGGATCCCCCCTCTTTAACTTTCATCAAGCATTTGGCTCTAATCTTTTTGCCGCCTAATTCTGTTAAATTAGTTTTTCACAAGTTTTTGAGTTATCTTCCAATTAGATTGTAAGCTCCTTAAAGGTTCCTATAGTCTAGGTTTCATATATTCCTCATGCATCTACATAGTAGATACTCTACATGTCCTGGTTTTATAAAGTAACATGATCAATCCAAACTTGACCCAACATGTACATTTAGTATTCTTTACAGATTTTTCTAGAACCATGTTGATACATTTTTTTTGTATAAACATGGATTTTCTGCTAGCCCAATAAATTCTTTGAGTTCTTGATATCAGAACTCGTCAGCTGACTCTGTGTCCCAGCCACAAGACTGCAGTTGTTCATCCTGTGGGAACTCAACTTCGATGTCATAAACGAAATTCGGATCATCCTTCTTCTTCTGATTTTTTTCAAAAAGTTCATCCATGATGCTCTTTCTTTTAGCAAGTTCCTTATCATCTAGTTTGTTCAGGTCTTCCTCAGGATCAATTGTTGTTTCCCGTTGAAATTGTTCCATTGTTTCTGCCAAACTTTGCCCCCATAAGTAACCTCGTAAAAAACTGAATAACTTCTCTAGCTGCCTCAGGGGCACTTGTTCCAGGTAATTCTTGTGTCGTGGATTATTCTTCAATTGTTCAGCAGCTCTGCTGCAATCTAGGAGGGAAAACAAAACCATATACTACACGCAACACATACACCACAAACTACTGAAAGCATTATCTGCTGTTAGAGCCAAGCAGCTAAGTGACTTTTTCAGATAATAATAATTATCAAAATGAATTATTTTGCAGAACTGTAATTATTCCTTTATATCGAGCTTTGAGTGTGTGGGGGTAGGAGGGATGCATTTTTTATTTCCTTGACTTAGTATCACTTTGAGGAGATGTTAAACACTTGTAACTCAAGAAAATATCTGAGATGAAAAGACAGTACTACAGTTTTAGATATTTGTACTGGTATTAAGAAAATATCAAGAGTACAAATAAAAAAACACATTTGGAGAGAGAAAAGGGAGTCAATATTATTAAATAATGCTATCTCATTTAACTGATCACAATTCCGAAAGGGTGGTATTATCAATTCCCATTTACAGTGAAGCTCACGGACAATAAGTAATTTAGCTGGTACTACATATTTACCCTGATGGTCATGATTTGAACCTAGGCCTGTACAACTCTGAAGGCCAAGTTACTCCATTATGAGACCAATCATTCTTACTAAGTGACTTAGATAATATTTAAGATAGGAGGCAAGATAAAACATCAGGTACCTGAAAACTTTGAAAAGTTTCGGACTGGCATGATGCGTTGGCGACTTTTCTCCTTCATTTCATTCTCATAGATTAAGATAATAGCTGGAGGCTGAAACCTAATTCCACATTTCTTGGCAGTGCACATCATTCTCACATACACTTCAGGGTAAATCAGAGGAAATCTGATGAAAATGTGTTAGTCACATAATGACTTCCTGCTAAAGGGGAAAAAAATTTAAGTGTTGGATAAATCACGATCCCCAGTACCCCTCCTTCCCAGCAGATCTGGCTCTAGTCCATCCAGTTCTAGAGATGCATATTCAGTGTATCAAATTTCAATATTTGGGAGCTACCGGAAAGTTCAGTTTGGCCCTGGGTTATCCTTAGTCTGTTGGATCCCTGGTTCAGTGAGGCATGTAGCTTTGTCCACACATGAGCCTGGAAATGTAGTTCAGTCTGGACCTCTCCATGTACTGCCCTCTTAACCAAAGTTTGTGCATGTGCCCCTGAGTCAGCCTAAGAATCAACTTATAGGATCTTTTTTATTTACCAATTAAATGAGTACGTACAAGCATCCTCTATGGCAAGATACTAAGATTATTTAACCTTAAACATTATGTCTTTAGAAGTTTATCAGACCAGGTCTGATTCTCTGTACTTTCCTAATCATTTTGTTCATCAATTTTTTTTAAAGATTGTATTTATTTATTCATGAGAGAGAGAGAGAGAGAGAGAGAGAGAGAGAGGGAGAGAGAGAGAGAGAGAGGGAGAGAGGCAGAGACACAGGCAGAGGGAGAAGCAGGCTCTGTGCAGGGAGCCCAATGTGGGACTTGATCCCAGGACCCCGCGATCAACGCCCTGAGTCGAAGGCAGACACTCAACCGCCAAACCATCCAGGCGTCCCTACTCATCAAGTTTTTTATGATTACTTATTAAATGATTTATCTTTCCTTCTATTCTATATGCCACATGTGGGCAGGGAATGTATCCACTGTTCACCAGAATATCCCAGAAAAATACCATACATACTTGTTTAATTTAATGTCCTGGGGCACCTGGGTGGCTCAGCCAGTTGAGCAGCCAGCTCTTGGTTTCAGCTCAGGTCATGAGCTTAGGTTCAAGCCTGTACTCAGCCAGAGTCTGCTTCTAACCCTCTCCATCCGGCCCTCCCCTCACTCACACAAGACTGCTCTGGCTCTCTCAAGTAAGTAAATAAATAAATACAATCTTTTAAAATAATTTAATGTACTAATATAAGACACAGCCCATGTATAACCTTTAGGTGTTTATAGGTCTGATAAAAAATGCAAACCCATTACAGATTGAACCTCTACATATACAAGGCAATAAGGTTGACATGGTTTTTATTTCAACTTAATTTGTCTCATGTTTCTTCAGTTACAAGAAACACAGTTATTTTGTAGTTAATACTTTCTATTCCCTCTTCCTGGTGCCCAATGCCAAAATACACTTAATTATAGGGACTGCTTTAGATGGGACTATGATATCCTCAGGAAAACCTGCACATGTTAAGGAACCTAGAGGTAAAGCAGCACAGGGTGATGATATCTTCACATACTTGATTCTGCTAGAGAATTACCAAAGGAACATGGTACATTGGAGAAAACTGGGGACAGGGTCAGGGAGGAGGAGGAGGAGGAAACAAATATAAAATGATCCTTGATTGTTTTTTTCTACACATATAGTTTTTTTTTAGTATACTACTTTTTATATTATACATCTATCTATTGCCTTGTAAATTTAACGACTTACATGATTTTGTCCTTAGATGCTTTACTAAAATGCACATTTCTATGACTGTCAAGTGTTTTGTCCTATGGATATACCATTCGCTCCTTATTGTTGGATGTCAGAATTTTTACTATTAAGAAATTAATTATACGGGCATCTGGGTGGCTCAGTGGTTGAGCATCTGCCTTTGGCTCAGGTCATGATCTTGGGGTCCCGGAATCGAGCCCCCAGCCAGCTCCCCCACAAGGAGACTGCTTCTCCCTCTGCCTGTGTCTCTGTCTCTCTCTGTGTCTCTCAATAAATAAATAAAATCTTTAAAAAATAAATTAATTATAAAGAACTACTTTTTCAATTTACTGTGCTCTGATCTGAAGCAAATGATCCTCCTCCTCTTCTTCCTCCTCCTTCACAAATACTACTCCCACATCATTAAAATCTGGTCTGTTAGTAAGCTTTCTAGGAGATCCCACTGAGCACAATATAAATTCCACAGACTCGCGCAAATGGCTCGATGTATGCAACTGATAACAATGTCTTTTTGGCTACAGTCTTTCTTTTTAAAATTTAACTTTTATTTGTATTAATGTTTATATCATTTAAAATGTAAACTAATTCTGAGAATTGTAACAAAAAAAAACTTGTCCCTTGCCCTTCCTCTTTTAAGAGGCAACCAGTTTCAGTTCTTTTAAGTATTTCTCCCAAAATTTATCTCCGTATTTCTTAACGCCACGTTTATACTATTTTCAGTTTTCCATTGCACATACCAACATCTCTCCTCTTTATTATTTATTATTATCTAATTTTTTATCCGACATCTTTCCTCTTTTTTAAAATTTAATTTAATTAATTTATTATTATAAAAAAATTTTTTTAGCCGACATCTTTCCTTTTGCAGACACCTGTCCTATGTCCAATCCGCATCTAGGTCCACTTACACATTCAGTTTAACTCATGAAGACGGAGGACCCCTTTCCCCAACTCCCTGGGCGTCGGTGACCCCATGATTCTGCTAAACATCACCCACAGCACCGAAAAGTGTACGGATTTCTGCCAACGGAAGGACGATCCTTTTGCCAACTCACGACCCCGCTGGTGCAAGACTGACCTTGCCCTTTAGAGAAGATACAGAACGTGCCTCTTCTGCACCGGAGGCTCTAAGGCCGCCGCGAAGGGGCTGCTCCCACCCGAGCGCAGCGCACGGAGCAGCAATGACTTCCACTTTGGGGCCGGCGGAGGCTGGCGCTGCAGGGAGAGGCCGCAGCCGTAGTCCCGGCGACGTGACTGCAAGGCGAATTCCCGCGCCGAAGGGCCGAACCCCAAGTACCTGGAGGCGGCGGCGGCGGGAAACTGCCGGGCCGGTTCGCTGGACCGCGTCGGAGGTCGCGGCCCGCACCGCGGCCTAGGGTCACCGTCAGGATCCCCGCCCCGCCGGTCGTTCCCACAGCAACAGCGCAGGCGTCCGCCACGGCGCGTGCGCCGACCCTCGCCCCGCCCCCTGCCGGAAGCTGAGGGGCGGGGCGGCGAGCCAACGCGGCGGGGTTTCCGGCTCCTCGCAGCCCGGGTACCCCGCAAGTTCTGGGGCTGCGGGAAGCCGCGGACGGCAGGACCGCAGGCGCGCGGCGCCGTCTTCCGTCCCGGTCGCTCGCTACGCGGCGGCCCGCTCTAGGAGCGGCGGGCGGCGCGCGCAGGCTTCTCCGGCCGCATTTCGTCCCCGCGTGCTCCGTGGGGGAGCGCGTTCTGCGGCGTCCTGGCTGCCAGGGCCGTGGGCGTCCAGGCGGTGGCCTGGCTGCTCCTCTGCGAGGCGGCGGGGCTCTCCGGCACACCGGCCGCCCCCGCCGGAGCCGGTAAGGAAGGGGACGGGGGGGGGGGTTCCTGGAGGGTCCGGGGGCGGGGCTGGAGGGTCCGCGGGGGCGTGGCCGGAGGTCCGGGGGCGGGGCTGGAGGATCGAAGGGGCGGGTGGAGGGTCCGCGTTGGGGGGGGGACGCGTGCGGGGCTGGAGGGTCCGCGGGGGCGTGGCTGGAGGGTCGAGGGGGCGTGACCGGAGGGTCCGGGGGCGGGGCTGGAGGGTCCGCGGGGGTGGGGAGACGCGTGCGGGGCTGGAGGGTCCGCGTGGGCGGGGCTGGAGTGTCGAGGGGGCGTGACCGGAGGGTCCGGGGGCAGGGCTGGAGGGCCCGCTGTGGGTAGTACGCGCGGAGTACGCGGGGGGGCCGGAGGCCCAGGGGGGCTGTTGCGGGGAGGGGGGCGCCCGGGCGCGTCGTCCCGCCGTACTTCTCCCGGCCTCCGCGCGGGCCGGGCGCCTGCGGGGTGAGCCCGCGGTGGTTACAAGCCGGCCTGGTGCTTGGCGCCCCCGGAGAGCCGGGCTTCGGGGTTCAGAGGTGGTACTGGCCGCCCTCCACCTGAGCGGTCGTGAAGACCTGCGGCCGTCACGTGTCCGGATGCGTGGAGCCTGGTCCCCAGGGGGCCCCGCAAGGCCAAGGAGAAGGCACGGGCAGGGAGGACAACTAGTTTTGTTTTACAAACTTCTTTGGTGCTACGTTGGACTGGGCTGGAGCTGTTCTTATGGCCACAGGCCGGGCAAGCGAGTTGGTGGGTCGCAGTGTGTGCTGGCTGCTGTGGACCAGCCCTCGTGGAGCTTGCAGAGTAGTGGGGACGCGCATTAGTCCTTACAATCAGGAAAGTCCATACAAATTAGGTAACTTTCTCCATCTGTAGAATGAGGATATTAGACTAGCCAGTCCCTGCTTTTGTCTTCACATTTTAGGTTTCCAAGTTTATTTGAAGTATTAAGAAGCCAAAGTGAATTTTTAAACAACTGGACTTGGTGCTACAGAAAGACTTCCAGCACTGGCATTTTTTTTTTTTAAGGTTTTATTTATTTATTCATGAGAGACGCAGAGACAGAAGCAGGCTCCATGCAGGGAGCCCGATGTGGGATTTGATCCTTGGACTCCAGGACCACACCCTGGGCTAAAGGCAGGTGCTAAACCACTGAGCCACCCAGGGATCCCGGCTTTTTTTTTTTTTTTTTAAGATTTTATTCATTTATGCATGAGAGAGAGAGGCAGAGACACAGGCGGAGGGAGAAGCAGGCTCCATGCAGGGAGCCCGACGTGGGACTGGATCCCAGGACCCCAGGATCACACCCTGGATGGAAGGTGGCTCTAAACCGCTGAGCCACCCCGGGCTGCCCCAGGACTGACATTTTATGAATAGAAAGAGGTCCATTTCCAGAGCCAGTTCAAGCCACCATAAAGTACTCTTTAAGGGGAAAAATCTTTTTAAAAAATTTTATTTATTCTTGAGAGAGAGAGAGGCAGAGACATAGGCAGAGGGGGAACAGACTCCTGCGGGGGAGCTGGACGTGGGACCCCGTCCCAGGATCCCGACCTGAGCCAAAGGCAGATGCTCAACCACTGAGCCCCCCGGGCGTCCTTAAGTGGAAAAATCTCGAAGGTCAATTCAAATGCAACAAATTAATTTTGAAAATGGTATTTTGGCTTTAAAAATCATAAGTAATCTATTTGCTATACTATTTCTAACTTAGTCTTTCTACCACCCCAAGATGAATTGTGATTTACTATTCTCTAGTATATGTCCCAATAGAATTTAAGCCTATTAATCTGACCTTTTTTTCCTAATTTAACCTATAGGTAGATATAAATCCTTACTCTCCACCCCTATTAAAATTTAACATAATGAAACATCTGGATTTGTACAAGCGCTACCCAAAGTTATTTTTTGGAAATGATTATATATGTTTCTCTGAAGCAAATAAAGATTTTTTTTTAATAGCTAGGAAAGTGAAAATATCTTAGGCTTTAAAACTCTGGTAAATCTTGCTTCTGATCAGTAAGTTAGTGTTATGGCCCACAGCCAGTTAGAACTATTTATTAGAGTTTCCTCCTGTTTGCAAATGGCAGTAATATTGCCTACCTATTTTCCTAGTTTATGAAAGTTAAAACACATAAAAGCCCCAAGTAGAGGATTTGTCACATGGATATCATTTAATAAACATTATTTTTCCATACTTTTTACCTTCCCTTGGATATTGCAATGTTTTCATTTTCATGTCATTTTATTTCAAGGGAGTTTTCAGGAATAAATCTAATTGACTTAGCATCACACAGTAGTGTATGATTTTCTTTGTTTTAATGTTTTTTCCATGTACTTCCTTCCGGCTTTTGAAAATGGAGTAAAGTTCCATAGCAAGACACCTAGCAGAATTGATGGTGATTAGTAGCTGAATCGTGTATTTACTTATTTTGAGAAAGAGAATGTTAAGCAGGCTCTACACCCAGTGCAGAGCCTGTTTGGGGCTCATCTCACAACCCTGAGATCGTGACGTGAACCCTATCAAGAGTCAGATGTTTAATTGACTGAGTCCCCCCCCACCCCCACCCAGCGCCTCTGAATTTTTAATTTTATGATGCTGACATTGGGTGATAGTTTTAATATCTGAATTCTGCATGATGTCAGTACAGTGAGATTTTAGGTTATTCTAAGTTTAAAAGGAATCCTTTGAATCTTTGAAAAGCCTCAAGTTTTTGTTTCTCTGTTTTAAACATTCCCAACATCTTCACAAGGTATAAATGTTCCATCTTCTCAGTTTTACAGGTGTGGATGGTAGGATACAGAAGTTGGCAGTATGTATGTGAAACACAGTTTCAGTGAGCTAGGATTAAATCTGAAAATTCCTGTCTTTAGGCATTCTGTTCCTTTTGGTGACCTGGGATCTTCTGAATAAAATAGTATGAATGACAAACACTTATATAGAGCTCTTAACTGTGTGATAAACCCTGTTCCCAATGCTTCTACATGTATTAAATTCTCATGACAAGTAGCAGAGAGATAAACTATATTGTCCAAAGTCACGTAGCTTTAAGTGACAGACTGGGATTTGAAAGTAGGCAGTTTAACTCCAAAGTCAATGTTCTTAATGCCTATGCTGTATTAGAAATAGCTTTTTAGGTAGCTCAAATTGCTTAAGTTTTAAAAGCCTTTGTTTTGTTTATAGGTTGGTTAGATTTTTCCAGGCAAGTAAGGCCTATTCAAACAATTATTTTCTAATTATGTAAATATTCTTTCATTAAGTGCTTATTTGAATGTAAAAAGTCTTCTGGTTCTTATAGGTAAAAAGGCCACTTGTTCTGAAATTATTTTGAGGCAAGAAGTTTTGAAAGATGGCTTCCACAGGTAAGTTGCCCACTGACTTTTACTTATGTCAGAATACTGTTTCATATAATTTAGGGCCAAAATCAATAACTGGGAAATGGATAAACTGAAAATCTCTTTCTTACAAGTGTTATAAGTGACAGATTTATCATATGTGGCTCACAGTTTGAAATAATGATTAAAATGACCGTAGAGAAGAGAAAGCAAATGTTTATTTACCATGTGTATTTTATATATATATATATATATATATATATATATATATATATATATCTCCTATATATGGCCAGATTCACTTGAAGTCTGTATAGTGAATCATCACTATATAGAAGATTCACTTAATCTTCACAGTAGTTATAATGCTAACTTTCTTGATTTTCACTTGATCTTAGCCAGAAAGCCAAGAAGTGATTGCCTTTTTTGCTTTTCAGATGAGAGAAGTAGGGTTCAGCGAATTTAAATTAGTAGAAATCAGGGTAGAGCTCTGACTCAAATTTATGACTATCATACTCCAAAACCGTGCCCTCACATATTAAGATATTATATCACCCTAAATCACTGTTTCTGATTTATAAGACTTAGTTCCAAATGACCAAGCTGTTTCCAAAATAGAAATTATTCTCAGGCAACCCTCTCCAGTCCCCTCCCTCTCTGGGAGCTTTGTATTCTATCTTTCAATAAACTTTATTAGCACTCAATAGCTTTGCTGCCCACTAAAAAAATAAATAAATGTATTCTCAATAATGAATATTTGCCAGTATTGAAGATATTTAAAGGACTGATAAAAAGTCGTAGCAACTGTTCTGTAAGAAAACTTCCCAAACTTTGAGTTTTTAAGGTAATTAATTTGAAATGATTCTGATATTTGATTTCCAAATTCTGATATATCGATTTTTAAAAATTTTGCGTTTTATAAATTATCTTAAGCTGAAACATCTTACTCTCCACTCTCTTTAAAGTTAGCCTACATGAGAATGGTTAGAAGGTGTAGTAGAAAAAACTTGGGGTTTGTTTTGTTTTGTTTTTTAACTTAGATTTGAGCTCAGAGGGTAGCTCTATTATTTAATAACAATGCAACCTTAGTCAAGTTTACTTAAATCTTTTCCAGCTTACTAGTAAAATTTGATAATGATAGTATTTCCTCATTAGGGCTGTGAGGATTAAATCTGAGAATATATGGGAAGTCTCTTAATGTAGTGCTTGTCACATAGGACATCCCCAGGAAATGTTAGCTCCAGAAATAAGGAGATAGGGGATCAAGTTGGACAATATAGTTTCGAAGAGGAGATTGCTATAAAGTAATAAAGCTGATTCTAATCAAGTTTCTTTTTTTTTCTTTTTTTTTTAATTTACTTAGGATAGTCACAGAGAGAGAGAGAGAGAGGCAGAGACACAGGCAGAGGGAGAAGCAGGCTCCATGCACCGGGAGCCCGATGTGGGATTTGATCCCGGGTCTCCAGGATCGCGCCCTGGGCCAAAGGCAGGCGCCAAACCGCTGCGCCACCCAGGGATCCCCTCTAATCAAGTTTCAAACAAATTTTAAGCAGTGTCAGGGTAATTATGCCAAGGTTATAGCTGCTGCTTTTTATTTTTATTTATTTATATATTTTTTATTTTATTTATTTTTTAAAAAATATTTATTTATTCATGAGAGACACACACACACAGAGAGAGAGAGAGAGAGAGGCAGAGACACAGGCGGAGGGAGAAGCAGGCTCCATGCACCGGGAGCCCGACGTGGGATTCGATCCTGGATATCCAGGATCACACCCCAGGTGGAAGGTGGAGCTAAACCACTGAGCCACTGGGACTGCCCTACCGCTGAGCCACCGGGGCTGCCCTTTTTTTTTTTTTTTTGAAAGATTTATTTATTTGAGAGAGCGCGCATGTGTGCAAGCGGGGGCAGGGGCAGAGGGAAAGGGACAGAGAATCCCAAGTAGATGCCCCCTGAGCAAGAGCAGGATGCAGAACTCCACCCCAGGACCCTGAGATGGCGATCTGACCCAGGATCTGACCCGAAATCAAGAGTTGGACACGCCCACCTGACTGAGTCACCCAGGTGGCCCATGTCAAGGTCATAGCTTCTGTCTTGAAAAATATTGGGATGTATTCTCAAGAGAAATGGGAAATACTAAGTAATGCAAATTTGCAGTGCAATCATTTATGATTCCAGTGAGGAAGAAAGAAGTGCCTGAAGAAACTATTGTGACAGCAAAAGTAGCTGTCCAATTAGAAGTAATAAAGATAAAAACCAGGACACAAAACCAAGGGTGAAAAGTGACAGAACCCACAAGAATAGCTTCAGAGAAATCTCAGTTATTTGAGACCTGCAGAAAATGCCAGTAATCATTTTTTTAAAAAGGCTTTTCAGTTATGTTTAGAACAGGTGTAGTCTTTTGCGAAGGTAGAGAAGGAAACATTAACAGATTATAGAAAATAGAATTTGTTAGCTTCTCTTCTTGGTCAAGAAGAATTACTTCCACTGTAGAGAGGGCCAAGCAAATATTGGAGGGTGGAAACTGAAGTGCAGAATACATACGGAATTTCTATAAAAGGACTTCACTATTATAGATGAGTTTAGGGTCTCCCTTCTGTGATGATCTATAGTTGAGGTCGGTAGGAGAATTTACTTAAATGATTGCTGAATTTCTGTTTATAATCTTCAGATAATCTGGAAGTTAGTTGATGTAATGTCTGGACAAAGTACTAGCCCAGATTATTAAAAGGATGGTTTGTGAACACAAAAGAGGAAGTGGTGGTCTCTGGGAACTAGCATGAATTTATGACAAATTTATGTCCTTCATAGAGATCCACTAGACAGGTAGATCAAAGAAATGGCTGTAGGTATAATACATCTGATTTTCTGTAAGACTTTTTTTAAAAGATTTTACTTATTTATTCATGAGAGACACAGAGATGGAGGCAGAGGGAGAGCAGGTCCCTGTGGGAAGCCCCATATGGGACTCGATCCCCGGACTCTGGGATCACACCCTGAGCAAAAGGCAGACACTCAACCATTGAGCCACCCAGGCGTCCCTCTGCAAGACTTTTGATGAAGTTTTAAATGTTGTATTTGTAAGATAAAGAACATGAACTGGAAGATAAAACAGTTGAATGACTTTGTTGAGAATTAACAAATAGATTCAATATGTTCTGATTAATGCTTTTTTTTAAAATTTTTTTTTGTTTTTATTTTATTTATGATAGTCACACAGAGAGAGAGAGAGAGAGGCAGAGACATAGGCAGAGGGAGAAGCAGGCTCCATGCACCGGGGAGCCCGATGTGGGATTCGATCCTGGGTCTCCAGGATCGCGCCCTGGGCCAAAGGCAGGCGCCAAACCGCTGCGCCACCCAGGGATCCCGATTAATGCTTTGAATGTCATCTGGGAGGAAGGTTCTGAAGAGTCTCTTATCCTTTTAAATATATATATTTTTTCTAATTATAAAATAGTACATGTTCATAAACACATATACGTTATCTGGAGGAAAAGAGATTATAGGTATATTCTACTTTTATAGAGACTATATCACTATAGAGTGATATAGTGACTAAGAATGTGGACATTAGAGTAAAACTTTAGGGGTTTGAATCTTGGCTCTTGGATAAGTTAGTTTCTCAGTGCTTCAGTTTTCTTTCTTTCTTTTTTTTTTTATGGGCTGCTTTATTTTTTTAAGATTTTATTTATTTATTCATGAGAGAGACACAGAGAGAGAGAGGCAGAGACACAGGCGGAGGGAGAAGCAGGCTCCACGCAGAGAGCCCGATGTGGGACTCGATCCAGGGTCTCCAGGATCATGCCCTGGGCTGCAGGCGGCGCTAAACTGCTGCACCACCAGGGCTGCCCAGTTTTCTTTTTTTTGAAGAGGGAAAATATTTTTGTTTCCTCACATATAAATACAGAATTTTTGGATTTAATTGATTTGCATATTCTGTCCTTAGCTTTTACATCACTAGAAATTATATTTTTGGATGAAAATAGAATATAACAATACCACAAATATTATTCAGAATTCTTTCAATCAATATAAATTATTAGGAAAATGAAATGCTGTATGTGAAATTATCTCAAGCTTCTAGGAAGAGTAGAAGCACACACGCACACAGACAAAAAAAGTCAGAAGAGCTCTTTCTCTGTATAGCTGTTCTTGATACTCAGTTCTTGAAATTGTTACTGTGTTCTTGGATCAATGAGTCCATAAAAAATGTACTGATTATCTGAGAACCAAAACCTAATATCATACATTTATATAAAGGCTGAAAGCATTTCCCTATACTTTTTGAGTTATAGGTAATAATTTTTCTATAAAGATGGTAACACAGATATTTTAACCCTGGTGCTTTGTTTTCTTACAGGTAAAAGAGGAATTATTATAGTACTATTTCATAGTGATTTTTTAAAAGATTTATTAAAAAATTATTTTTAAAGATTTTATTTATTCATTCATGAGAGACACACAGAGAGAGGCAGAGACAGGCAGAGGGAGAAACAGGCTCCTGGCAGGGAGCCCAATATGGGACCCGATCCCAGGACCATAGGATTATGACCCAAGTCAAAGGCAGATGCTCAACTACTGAGCCACCCAGGAGCCCCTAAAAATTTATTTTTGTGGAGAGGGGCAAGGAAGAGGGAGAGAGAGAATCTTAAGCAGATTCTGTGCTGAGCATAGGGGCCTAACCCTGAGATCATGACCTGAGCTGAAACCAAGAGTTGGTTGCTTAACCAACTGTTGTACCCAGGCATTCCTTAGTGATTTTTTAATCAACTTCATTGAATTTTGAAAATTCTGTATACCCATGTAACCACCACCTCAATAAAATATATAATTTCCATTATCTCCAAAAATACCCATGTGCCACTGCTTGGAATTATTCTCCCTCACCCATACCCACACTCAGTCAACCACTGATCTATTTTCTTTCACTATATAGATTTTCTAGAATTTTATGTAGATGAAACCATATAATACGTGTTTTTGATATCCAGTATCTTTCACTCAGCATTGTATCAGTGAGATTTAT